CCATTTCTCTCACTCTCCAGCGCACACACATACTGTCATGTTTGCGCTCTGCCTTCACCTGTTGATCATCAGTATCAGCGCTCTTGCTGCTGTCCGCTCACACCTGTGTCTTGTCTTGTCTAATTACTCAGTCTACTTCTAGTGTTTGTTCTCTCTGTTCTGTGTCGGATTATTGTGAGTACGTTCTCTCATTTTGTCAGTTAAAGGAGTCTTACCTATGTCTTGTGTAACAGTATTCGCCTTGTTGTCTCCTGTCTCCTGTGACCTGCTTCGGTGAGATTCATCCGTTGTTCTCTCTGCTCAGCTGCCAGCTTCAAGGACCATTTACTCTGAGAGTATTTTCTGTTCTTCGTTATCTCTCCCGACAAAGTATCCACTGAGAAGCTGTCTTTCTGGAGAGCACCTTTTTCTGTTCTAGTTCTGAGCGGTTATTCTTAAAGCTGTTTTTCTTGGACATTAAAGACTTTGCATTGAACTTCCTTTGCTTTTAGATCCTTTTGTATCAACCCTGACAATTATGCAGGCTAAATAACACACCATGCAAACACACCATACTCAGCAGTCTGAAATTATGATAAATAATACCTAATAGTTAATATTTTCCACAGACAAGAACTTGTCCCATTTGTACCCATGTCAGGTACAGTAGAACCATGGTACAGTTGAAACACTCATATTTAATGCTCTAAAGTAGCCTAACCAAATCATTTTGAATGTTCGAATGTCTTAAAAGATATAATTCAACAAAAATCATTTTATTTTTGAAAATTAGAATATTTTGCTATTCAATGGCAAAACATTTAAGAGTTAAACAGCCCAAAGTAAATCATTAAACAATTAAGATTCACATTAGGAATTGTTAATGGTATCCCTTTATTGTCAAGTCATCTTCATTTATACAGCGCTTTTAACAATGTAGATTGTTCCAAAGCGGCTTTACTGCGATAATAGGAAATTAAAGTAACAGAGATTGTTTTGGCTTTATGGCAGCTCTATAATAAAGTTATTTTAATAGAGTTACTTTTGATTGATTCACTTCCGTCTCAACGATCATTAGTTATTAACTTATGGGCCGCTAACCCGACACCGTTTTAACAGAAAACTCTGAAGTTCTCTGTGAGAATGCTGAAGCGTCCTTCCCTAAAAACCAACCCTCAACAAACTACTTGTCTGGCCTTAAAATTTATAATACAGAATTTGATCGCTTCGACGTAGCCACGCGAACCGGAATTATCCCGGCAATGCTTATCTGTACAGAGGTAAAGGGAAGGAGGCCTTCACAGGGAGGGACTAGTGACACTTCAGGACTGCGTTGTCGTCGCGTCCAGGCGCAGGTCCTTCATCAGATCTGGATACGGCCTGGTGGACTGCGGTAAACCTCGGGATAAACAAAGAGACTAATATTAGCGTAGATGCCATTCTTCTTATGATTTAACGAGTACATTTAAGAGAAGTGTTCCCGGTTCCGGCTGACCTAATCTATACAGCCTAACATTGAATTATAGAAGTCTATAATGTGTTGTGTATGCTAGTTTAAAGAGATGTGTTTTTAGTCTAGCTTTGAACTGACAGAGTGTGTCTGCTTCCCGGAAAATGGTAGGAAGACTGTTCCAGAGTTTTGGTGCTAAATAGGAAAAGGATCTACCGCCTGCAGTCGATTTTGATATTCTAGGTATTTTCAACTGGCCAGAGTTTTGAGATTGCAATAGACATGAAGGACTATAATGCGTTAAGAGCTCGCTCAAGTACTGCGGAGCTAAACCATTTAGTGCTTTGTAAGTAATCAGCAATATTTTAAAATGTATACGATGTTTAATAGGCAGCCAATGCAGTGTTGACAGAACCGGGCTAATATGGTCATACTTCCTGGTTCTGGTAAGAACTCGAGCTGCTGCGTTTTGGACCAGCTGGAGTTTGTTTATTAAGCGTGCAGGGCAACCACCCATAATAGCATTACAATAATCTAGCCTTGAGGTCATGAACGCATGAACTAACTGTTCATGTACTGTACTGAACCAACAGGGCAGAGAACTGGATTCAAGTTGCGCATCCTGCACCAGGACACAAACAGCCTTCAGTCTCTTCATAGAGAGAGCTCTCACATTCAGGATGGTCTGTAACCTTTGATGAGAGACCAGAATCCATCAGAAGGCCTTGCTCAAAGGACATACCAAAAAAAATATAGAGCTGAGTATCAGAGAAAACTAATCCCAGGCTTCCTAATGATATCTCCCAAAGGTAGCATGTACAGAGTGAAAAGCAGCGGTCCTAGTACTGAGCCTTGAGGTACTCCATACTGGACCAGCTGGAGTTTGTTTATTAAGCGTGCAGGGCAACCACCCAGTAGAGCATTACAATAATCTAGCCTTGAGGTCATGAACGCATGAACTGTTCCGCATTTTTCATTGAGAGAATATGACGTAATTTAGATATATTTTTAAGATGGAAGAATGCGGCTTTACAGATGCTAGAAACATGACTTTCAAATGAAAGATTGGTATCAAAGAGCACACCCAGGTTCCTAACTGACGACGAAGACTTGACAGAGCAGCCATCAAGTGTTAGACAGTATTCTAGGTTATTACATACAGAGGTTTTTGGTCCAATAATATAAAACCTCTTTTTTTTTTTTCGGAATTAAGTAGTTGCAAATTATTAGTCATCCAATTTTTTTTTATCAGCTATGCATTCCTTTAAATTTGTGAATTGGTATATTTCGTCAGGGCACAAAGAAATATAGAGCTGAATATCATCAGCGTAACAGTGGAAGCTAAATTATGTTGGCATTAGTGGAATTGCATTGGCATGGTTCAAATCATACTTATCTGACCATTATCAGTTTGTAGCAGGCAATGAAGAGATGTCTTGAAGAGTTCAGTATTGGAGTACTTCCCATAACACCCGATGTACTTGTTACATCGTAAAAAGAATAGCATCTACGCTAATAATAGTTTGTCTGTCTCATCCTTATCCCGAGGTTACTGTAGTCGGCCAGATCCGGGTCGTATCAGATCAGATGGTGGACCTGAGCCTATACACGACCTCATCGCAGCCCTGAATGCCAACAGAGACCAGCTACCTTTTTCTCCATTTCTTCTCAGTTTTGGTTCCTTGCCACTGTCGCCTCTGGCTTGCTGAGTTGGGGACACTTAATATTCAGCAATATTACTGATTTGACCGCAATGACACTATTGGATGAGAACAACTTAGCTGGAGGATGACGTCACTGTTTTCTACAGAGCTGAATTGAACTCCTTTCATAATTGATGCACTTTACACAGTTATTGAACTGAAATGAATCAACACTGAACTGATTTCAATTGAATAATGACTGTTTAATCTTGTCTTTTTTTTTTAGAGCTGCTTTACAGCAGAGTTGAATTCGGTTTGCATCATTGAATCGTTATTTTTTTGTTTATCACTGTAAAGGTGCTTTATTGTATAAAGCGCTAAAGGTGACGACTTCTAATAGTAATCAAACACACTTGCCTGTAATAATCAAGTAATCCTGATAACCTTGATTAGCTGGTTCTGGTGTTTTTAATTAGGGTAAGAACTAAATTCTCTGGGTCGGATGTGATATCAGAGACACCACACTAGTTGTAGTTTTCACGTGACGTCACACCCTTATAGAGGCAAAACAAGGCTTTCCTCCATTTCCCTCCAGTCATTTTTACCTGGTTGGTAAACTAAGACAGTGATATTAAAAGACCAAATTCAATATATAACTAATTGATGAGGCAAGCAGATGAACCCAAAATATAAACTTAACGCACACTTTCTCGTTTAGCGAAGAAAACCATTATAAAGAAAACACTTAACCGTTTAAATTGCATCGTGCAATATGACGGAATAAGTCATGCCAACTTTAAGCGTTTTAGATTATTTTTATTGGTTGAAATACTGCAGCAATTAAATATTCATGGCTTGAAACAGATGTAGAATTGGCAGATGTTTTTCCCTACAGGTCATGTGACTGATAACAGAGCGCAGTATTCATAGTTTTCAGAGTTACAAGCAGCAAATCTATTAGTGTGATCATTAAAATATTGTAGAATTTTCCAATAAAATATGTGCATTTCTTAATACAACAATCTCAAGACATTTGGTGGCAAGAACAGTTTTATTTATCAAATTTGTCCCTAAGGACATTAATCATGTCATTTCCCTACGGTACGGGGACCTTGGTCATTCCACATAGTAGTGGCATTAGAGTATTTACAAAGAAATCTTAATGTCAGGAAACAAAAAATCACATGTCTTTGTTTTCATGCACAAAAACAATGTGTGCTGATTGTCATGACGATGGCAAATTTTGTTGCGGCGTAATTTAAGAAGAAAAGCAGCTTTAGAAGCTGCCTCTGACAAAAGAAGATGCAATAATCTAGAGAAGAGTTTCAAAAGAGGGATAAATTGCCAGAATAACATCACTACCTTCATCAGCGATACAAACTCTCATGCATAACAACATTACTTGTGGGTTTCCATGAATCAGGAAATCTTTTTCAACAACAAAGTAGTAATTGCACATTTTTAAACCCCTATGTCGGGAGAATGATAAACACAATGTAAGAGAATGCATATTGAACAATTACTGATAATTTAGACTGCTCAGTTTTATTTGAGCACAACATAGTTTGTCATTTTTAATAGTAATGTCTTCCACTGCAACAACAACATTAAAAAAGAAATTTAGCCAGGAAAGATTTAAAGATGGAGAAGGTAAGTTTGAGTCATTCAATAAAGTTGTGCTTTAATTCCTTCATGCTAGAAGGCTATTCTGGTGCAAATATTACAAAAAAGCAACTAATGCAATGAGCAAATGTCATTGTAAAGCATCAAAGAGAGGTATGTATGTATGAATGTTTCAAATCTATAGAATATTATTCAACATAATGCATTTAGCATAATCTAAAAGCCATCGTTATATTGATAAGCATTGATTCAAATGATTCTTATCTTAATAATCCAGGTATCCTAATAATCTTATAGTTATGTTG